TTGCATTATTGATTGTAGATTAACAAACTGCCTGGAGCTGTTCTGCCGTGCTTAATGAAAACGCCGTAACCAACAATTTTGCGATTTTTGGTTTACGGCATTTTCTACTAGAACAATTCATCCTGCGTCTATCCCCGGTACTCAAAAAACCGTATATATATAGATACGGTTTTTTGAGTACCGGGGATAGACGCAGGATAAATTTTTCTAGTAGAAAATGCCGTAAACCAAAAATCTAAAAATTGTTGGTTACGGCGTTTTCATCAAGCACGGCAGTGTTGCACTCATGGCTTTGCCCTTTTGCGAACAAAGTAAAGGAGGTTTTACATAATTTTTTATTTCTCAAAGCTGCGTTTGCAAAGGTTATTGCCTGGAAAGTAAATTTTAATTGAACTATTTAGACCTTATCCTTTATATGTTAAATAAGATATGATTTTAAATCATACCTTTTATTGACTTCAAAATATTTGCTTTAGTGTCATTCTTTAACAAAGGCTCCCTTGCAATATAACAAATTTTGCACATACAAGGTAACAGACTAGTAGATCTTGTACAATATTGTGTTGTTGCATAAAACTGTGATAAAATTGACAGATCTATGGTTTCTTGGCTTCCACCCTTTATCCGGTATAACTTTCGTAAACATCCACTACAAATAGCATTTGGCAATCGTTCATCAGAAACAGAATATTCAAACAGAGTTTTTATCATAACTTCAACTTTTCCATTTGAAAATATCTTCGCAAATTTGCTGCAAAGACTATCCTTTTTTAAACACAATAAGCAAACTTTTGCACGATTTTGATCGTCCGTTCCTGGCTTTTTTAGTGTATTTTTCGCCATTTCAAAACAAGTTTTAATGACAATCGAAACAGTTAAGATGTATTAACGTCACATAAATTAACAGCCGCCTTCTTTTTAAATAATGGAAAATGAAAATTATGGTTTTTATTCAATTTAAGAAGCTCAATAATTTATTTTATTAAAACTAACTTTTTTTAAGAAGCGCCCCCTAGATTATTTTGTTTTTGGTCTTAAAGCGTTATTAAGATGCCAGACAACTAAAATTAAGTTAAAAATCTCATATGCAAGAATATTTGAATAAAATTTAATTCAGCCACACCGTGATACCTAGAAGAACCGGAGAGTTTAAACGGATTCAAAGAAAAATCTGTATAGGAAACCTCGAAAACTTTAAAATAGAATAAATCTGGCAAAAATATAAAAACCGCTAAAGAAAATTTAGGAAATAAACAAAAAAGTGACCAACCATGGATTACAAGGAAAACAAAAAAGAAAATATAACAAAGAAAGAAAGTAAAAATAAATATACTAGCTCAAAAGAAGACCAGAAACAAAGACTGCAATAAGAATACAAAATAAAAAACAGATAGGTAAAAACTAGTAAGAGGATGAATTATCGAATAACAGAAGAAGCATAAAATTCGGCACAGAAACATGATATAAAAACACTACAGGGATGGTAATGGGCTTTTAGGCCGTTTAATAAACAAAGATGCATGCTATATAAAACATACGAATAAGTGAGATAAACGTATAAATAAGAGAGACAAACAACCATTGTTGAACGAATAGGAGAACAAAATACTTATTTCCCCTCTGCCATAAGCGTGCAGTACAAGATTTTAAAACGAATAAATCAAAACAATTAAACGTCCGCCAATGTTTTACTTCCCCTCCTCTAACTGCTTTCCAATCCCACTACTAGATAACCTTGACGCAAATTTCGCAATCGAGTCTCGAAATAACTTCAGTGTTATTCGGTCCACGTTGGAGTGCGGACGGAGGAATTTTAAATTTTCTTTAAAATTTAACTATGATTTTGTTTACAAAAACGAATACTTATTGAATTTTTTTCGAAAATGTGGAAAATAAACCATAGTATTCTTGTAATAAAAAAACAAATATTCTTAAACAAAAATGGTATTCTAAAATATTTAAATTAAAAAATAAATAAAGTAAATGTTCAAACAAAAATGGTGTTCTAAAATATTAGAGAATATTTCCTAATTTATAACAAACGTACTACCGCTTACTTACAACACATTCTCTTGTCTGCGGTCGGGCCGCCCGACTCGGGCGATGATCGTAGCCGCGCGGCGCGGTCTGGCTTGCCCCACTACTCTTACGTCATTCCACCACTCCCACGTCTCATAATGCATTTGTCTTTATTTATTAAACGGCCTAAGAGCACATTACCATCCCTGTATATGAGATAACACACTTTAAAAGGAAAACAATATATACAGACACCAAATACGCACAGATAAGAACATAATGAAATGCTGGGTAGAGTACTTTACAGAAATAAACAGAGGAAGAAAATGTACCTATAAATATGAATGGCAAACATGAGAAAATGAACATAAACCAAGGGAAGTTTAGCAAAGAGGAAATTAAACATATGGCAATAATGGCAAAGCACCGGAAATAAATGGAATAACAGCTGAATTAATTTCAGCCCATCTACATTGTCCTGTTAAGGTGTGTACATCCTATTAAACAAAATACAAAATGTACCCCCGGACTGGAGCCAGGGAATAACACTGTGCAACACAAAAAATGAACTGGGATCAAATCTGAAAAAATCGAATCTAGGCAACCCCCAAAACAAATCCTTTAAGGGGTTTTACCAGTTTAGCTCGAATAATGGAGATATACAGGGTGTTTCTTTTAACTTAAGACAGCACAATATCTCGAGAAATACGCATTTCACGAAAAAATGTCTTAAATAAAAGGTTAATGTGACTAAAGGGGACATTATTTGGTGCTACCGCTAGCCACCCCCTACCCCTCCTTAAGGGTGAAACGGGGGGTAACTTTGGAAAGTCAAATGGAATGCGATACCGCCCGACATTTTGGCGCGTTGTGTGCCAGAATTCATTACCCGCATTCAAAAATGTGTTGAAATGGAAGGACGACATTTCGAACATTTGTTATAAATTGTTTTCAGAGCCGACTATTGTTAATTTAATGTTAATTTTTGTTTTTCAAACGTTTCAAATAATACATTTTACAAGGAAACCCCTTTTTCTTAAATTTTGAATTACAGCGCCATCTGTTGATAAATTGAAAAAAACTTTCAAATAAAAGTTATTCATTTTTTTATGTACTACCAAACTCTGTGAAAATCGGGTCATTCCATTTGATTTTCCAAAGTTTCACCCCTAAGGAGGGGTAGGGGGTGGCTAGCGGTAGCACCAAATAATGTCCCCTTTGGTCACATTAACCTTTTATTTAAGACATTTTTCCGTGAAATGCGTATTTCTCGAGTTATTGAGCTGTCTCAAGTTAAAAGAAACACCCTGTATATTTCCATTATTCGAGCTAAACTAGCAAAACCCCTTTAAAGATTAGTTTTGGGGGTTGCATAGATTTGATTTTTTCACATTTCATCCCAGTTCAAATTGTAAGGTCAAAATTTGTCGCACAGTGTAATTATTAAACTATCAAAAAAACAAAAACTTACCTGCATTTAAGAACTAAAGACAAATTACAATTTTAAGCGTTGCAAGCAAAATAATGACAATAATAGAAAAAATTAGGACACCGTTAGATAAGAATTTACAAAAAAAAAAAGATAGTTTTAGATCAAATGGATCGTGCAATGCATATGTATATTATGCACACCAAGATTTATTTTTGAAAAAAAGCTAAAAAAAAGTTAAGAAATCCATATAAATTTTATCGATTTCGAGAAGGCATTTGATTCAGTTAAAAGGGAAAGATTATGGGATTTTCTTAGGTTCTATGGCGTACCCAAAAAAGTTAGGTAAGTGATAAAAATGCTTTATAAAGAGTTTGTAGCAAAGATAGAACATTAAGCACAACTTTTAAAAGGAGTAAGACTAGAGAATGAAGTTCGTCAAGGCTGTAGGATGTAACCCTTATTCTTCATAATAATTATGGAAATAACAGAAGATAAGAGAACCGGAATCTTATGGGAACTCTAAAAAGAATATCTAGAATTCTCCGATGATATCTGTCTCCTGGCGTCGAAACAACCACAATTTCCAAAACATCTGATTATTTTAAATTAAGTGGGTGCATTTTAGGTTGTAAATGCCACAATCCCAAACATCTAAATCCTAAACCCGAATTGTATTCCCCCAAAGAATAATATCAAATGGAGGTAAAATTTGCTGGCAGCGAGATCATCGGATATGTCTCCTAATGATTTTTTTCTTTAGGAGTAAAGCGTATAAGGACATAAAAGACTTAGGGGACATCCATTTATTACGTGAGACAAAAATGGGGGGAGGGGTCCAGCAAAATCTCACCAAATATCATTTTAAGGGAGGGGGGTCATTTAAAATCTTACGTCATCTTTTGAGTTTAAAAAATATGTATTATAATTCAAATTTGTTAAAAAAAAATAATCATTTTTTTTATTTGTTGTCCACAAAGAAAGTTTAATGGCTAAAATCTCACGTTTCAAAATATAAATTACCCCTTTAAAGCTGAACAATGTTCGTAGGAAATTTTATGACCGGTTGGGTTATTGCCTGGCAGTATTTCTTTGAAAATAAAATAATTTATTTTTTGGAATTCAATGTTTCATTTCTTAATTTTTAGAATTATGTTTATTTTTAGAGAATCTTTTAATATAACACATTTTTAGTTAAATTCATACATTTTCCCACTATATACTAGGTTTATAAGTGTTATAATAGAAAAATTGTTATACGCTTGAAATTATGTTTTAACCTTTTATATAAATAGTCTTAAAACATTAATAACCCAAAAACTATTTGTCAGAAAAACGTTTGATAATTTTTTTATACTAAGTGTGCCATTTTCGAAACACCATGAATAATATTCTTAATATTATGTAGGTAATTATTTTAAAAATGTATAAATAGTTACCATACAGGATGAAACTTATACCACAAAACATTTGCAATTAATTTGTTGCAAATAAATGGCATATCTGAGCCACAAAATATATATGAATCATTAAAAAAAACAATAATACTTACATATTTGTGGAAGCTGCTTCTCTGAAGCTCTGGCCATACTGCTAGCTAATTTTAACCCATCTGAATGAATATCATCCACTCTTATGCCATACACTTTTGCGCTAATATCCAATGAGGTACTAGCAACTTGTAAAGTATCACTATTGGATTTTTGTGACATATGTCTTAACAAATCGATTATATGAAGTTGCCAAGCATTTTTAGTAGTAATTTTCTAAAAATAAAAAATAATTATTAAAAATTTAAAACTATGTAAAATAAACAGAGTAATGTTTATGTGGAGAAATAAAGTTTGTATTAATAATGTGTCTGATCTAAGTGTTAAATTAAAATTTTGTAAAAATAATGCGAATCATGTACCTATGCAATTTAATATAACATATGTCAAACGTCAAACCAGACAAAATGTCGCAAACTCGATAATTTCAATGTAAGTACAGAATTATTAAATGCTGGGAAAAACACAAAAGTATTACTTTAGATAATAGTAATCTTAATGTCAATGATGGGTGATTGTTATATACACAGATGTAAATGTAAGCTAAGGACAGATAAAATCTAAAAAAATGATAAACGGAGAATGGGTTTTTAAAATAAAATTTTCATTTTTAAAAACAGAAAGATTCCTGTCTTCTACGCAGTTAGATGAGGACGAGATATCAAGTGAAATGATAATCTTGCTACTTAAACCGCCTAAAATTTAAGGATCGGAAACTAGACAGTGTTTTAACTTTGCGGAAGATTTATCAAAACTGAATCTAAAATAATTACCTATGTACTTAGCTTCCACATAGAGTTATTTTATGTTAATTACATTTGTCAACCAATGTAAAATGTTGCAGAATAAAGTTTTTATTTTATTTCTACAAAGTTATTAAAATGTTTTTTACTTTTTTAAAAATATTATTTGTTTCCCAAATAGCCCCTGCAGTGGGGAAAGTTGCTTTTATGCAAATTTAAACCATATTCTCAAATAGCCCCACCCTAAGGGCAATTTAAGAACACACAACAAATTCAGTTCAAAGATAATAATACATATCCCTATTATAAATCTATCCAATAGTTCCAAAAAATTGACCAGGTTTTGCTTCGTTTTGAAGATATTGCTGAAAAACCTTTAAAAAATTCCCGAATAGCCCCATTCTAAGGTATGCAATTTAATTAATTATATTATTATAATATAACATATGTTAAACGTCAAAACTGAAAAAATATCGCAAACTCGATAATTTCAATGTAAGTACAGAATTATTAAATGCTTGAAAAAATAGTATATACAACACGGCAGAGAAAGCATATTAAATGCCTCGCTCAGATCTGCAGCCTCTGCAGCTAACAATGAACATCAAATAAGCCCTTCATGAGCATAAAACTGAGACATTATTGTCAAAATGTCAAAATCCTTAAGTAACGCGTTTCCATTAAAACAAATAATTAACAACCATGTTGTAAATGACCGATTAATTTCTGTAGAAACCAATTAAAGTATTGATTGGTATCAATGGTTCTGAATTGGACTTACTGGATTTAATTGGGCGCGATATAAAACAGAAATTGGTTTTTACTGGTATTTTCCATGATGGAAAAATCCAATAAGGATTCTAAATTAGAATCCTTATTGGATTTTCTAGAATTTCTAATGTTTTTTATTGGTTTCGATTGGAGCCAAGGTCAAATCATATTGTGACCGTGAAAATAAAGGTTCATGAATAATGGCTCGGTCAATGCGCATGTCACATGGTTTGCATGCATTGTTTTTAAAATTTAAACTACCTGTCATATTTGTTAGGTTAAGTTTTAGTTTGTTCTCTTATAAATACTGTGAGTAAATAGTGACAGTGAATAATTTTAAATATGGCTAGTGATATAAGAAAATGCGTTGTCCCTTACTGCAAAAAAGTGCAAGATAAACGGCATTTTATTTTCCAACTATGGAATCTCAACTAGACATTTTCAACATGGGGGTGAAAAAAATATAAACATCCAAATTAAACCAGATGAGTAAAGAGGAAATAATTAAAAAACGTTATGTATTGTGTCACATATTTAGATATAAATCACATATTTTAATATGTGGTCATAATCATTTCAAAAAAGGAGTGTGTCGTGAACACAGAAGTAGTCTACCAGTAGATGCTGTTCCAACTTTGAATCTCCCAAGTAAGTTTGTTTTTTCTCTTAAATTTTAAGTCTTAAAATTTTAGTATTTAGGTAAGGTTTAACAAAACTAATGTTACACTCGAGGTTACACTAGTTCTATAATAATTATCCATTCATACTGATATTCATGCAAGAGCTTAAAGTGAAAGACTTAATTGACCATATGCAAGGAATGCGGTCGATGTTGCCAATGGTAAAAAAATAAAATTCCCTATTGGGAACATTCAATTATATTACGTTGGCTACACTGAAATTTTGAATTTCCCGCACAAACTGACATACATTCTAGTAGTTCCCAGAGATAAAGAAGGTAGTTCCAATGTTGTATAATAAATTAAGGTGCGAATTTCAAATGTGGGAATTATTATTATTTATTATTATTAAAAAAAAAGATGGAAATTAATTTAGTTTGTGCGGGAAATTCAAATTTTCAATGTAGCCAACGTAATATAATTGAATGTTCCCAATAGGGAATATTATTTTTTTACCATTGGCAACATCGACCGCATTCCTTGCATATGGTCAATTCCTAATAAAATACGGAATGAATGATGAAAGGTAATTATTTTTGTACTAATTTTATTTTATTTGGTTTTCATGTAATGCATACCACAGATGATAAACTTGGACCACTGATGAAAAAAACAGTTTTTGAAACAGTTTAAACAAGAGAAAAAAACTGGGAGGTAGGAAAGATTTTTCATAAATATATTTTTGTACTAATTTTTTTTTTCATGTAGGTAATGCATACCACATATGCCATATACTTTTTAGTCGTAAGTGGTCAGAGATTACCATATTATGGTAATCTCTTACCACGTACGACTAAAAAGTAGTTTTTGAAACAGTTTAAAAGAGGTAAGAACGGTTTTAGTATAAAAATAAGTACTAATTGGATTTTGTTTTATCATGTATGATAAACTTGAGCTACTGGACTACCTAATACCAATTTTTTTAAACAAGAAGGAAAAACTCTGGAAGTAATAAATATTTTTTAATAAATAATACCTAGTTTTTACTAGTTTTTTTATATTACTTATTGTAATAAACTAATAAATAAGTTTTGAAAACTTTTGATAATAATATGCAGGTTTCTTTGTCACTTTTTTTAAATATGCATGCACAGCTGTGAATTATCTAGATATTTTTTTGTTTTTTTTTTATGTTAAAATATTTAATAATAATAATTAACCATAGAAATAATAACATACCTAAATATATTTTGGTTTATTTATTCCCTCATGCACATGTTTATTTATTACAAACTTATTTATGTACTATTTTCTTGAAGTAACCTTTATTTTAATTTTATTTTATTATATGATATATGACATATTTGTTTACTAAACGTTTATTTTCAACATTTTATTGAATTTTCTTTATAAATATATTTAGTATACTAATTAACCCCTAAATGAAAGGGAAATTTAGGTATTTATAGCAAGAACATACTTTTTTAAGGCTTTTTTGGAATCAATGTAATGTCAGAAAAATTAATCAAAATTTATATTGCAAAAATATAAACTGAAGATATTTGAAATTAAAGTTTTTTAGAATGGATGGGTGTAAATGGTTATTGAAAAATGATTATATAATGAAATGGAAAAATTAATACAAATTAATATAGACTAAGCGGTACCAATTCTTAAGAACTGTTTTGCTAGCTATAACATAGTGTAAAATAAATTAATAAAGAAATAAATAAAATAAATAAAATATATTATATATACATTAGGGTGTTTCATTTAAAACGAAAAATTCTTTTTTCTTGCTGACACATGAAAATTTTGTTTTTTAGGTTGAAAAAAAAATTCCCTGAAAATTTTGATTTTAAGTACTTCCTTTTTAATTTTGTAGTTTTTCCATATAAAAAGCATGTATTTTTAATCATTTTTACTTTAAATTTCTATATTTTGGCCGGGTTTTGAATTATAATTTTTATCACCATAATTTCCTGCATAGTATTCACGGTTTTTGAAAGGCCCTGCATCAATTTTGTTTTTGATTTATTTACGTTGATTGTAGTAACTCCAAAAGTCGTTAATTCACTTTTTCTCACATATTTTTGAGAAAATCGAGCGAATGACTGGTTTTACCGAAAAAGTTCAAAGGAAAAAGATGTGGGAAATTTAATTTTTAATAAAAAAGTTCTTACGTTCATATCACAAGTGCTTTGTTTGTGCAGTTTTAGTGATTTTTTACTCTTTTCAAAGCTTTCACATACGAATTTTTGAATTAAAAAAATAATCCTAGTATAGATTCTTTGGGAAATTTTATGCTCTACAAGAATCCGCGACGTAAAAATTTTTATCTCAAACGGTTCAAAAGTTATAGTCTTTTTAATGAAAAAAGATTTTTTTACATGTTATTTCAATGGAAAACTTACAATGCTCACCGACACCTTTTAAAATTGAGCAAAAAATTTTGCCTTGCAGGGAAATTTTTTGCTCGGTATTTAGGTTCATTTTAACCCATAAATCCGATAGGTTAGTTTTTTTGGCTCACCCTAATATATATAATTAAATATTTACATAATAATATGGTTATATAATATTAATCATATTCCATTAGTATTTATTGATTTTTTTTATATATGTCTTTGAAAATTATCTTTTTATCTATAATATATTTTAATATTAAAATAAATATTACATTGATTTTTAAAAAGTCTTGGAAAAGTAAGTTTTTGCCATAAATATCTGAAATTTTCTTTATTTCCCATTTAGTTAAGGGCGGTAAATAAATATCGCATCCTACTTTACCGGCAGCGCATGACCGTGAAATGTTAGTTACAATCACTGGCTACAATGGCTCGGCGCAAAAGTAGTTTTCAAATTCATAGCGTTGACTTGCGCTTATAGTATATATGTTATATGAATAGAGATGTAAAAAAACGGTTTTTTTTCAGATGTGAAAAAAAACATGAAAAAAAACCTAGAAAAAAAACGGTTTTTTTGTTTTTTTTCAAAATGAAATTTTAAGTAAAATGTATATTAATAATAAAGTAAAATGTAAAATATATTACATTTTTCATTATTGAAAATTTTGACCGAG